TTTTTTTTTTTTTTTTTTTTTTTAATTTTAAATTCAGTTCATTTCAACCTTGCCCTACATGTTTCTTAACTTAGCACGGCGATTCTCAGGGCGTACTCACGCTGGGAATTTCCTGGATTTCCGACCAGGCTTGGATGCACCTGACCGCAATTACGTCCACAGAGGCCGGCCTCGTTGATTGTTTGGTAATGGAAGTTAAAAAAAAAAGAAAAAAAAAAAGAAAAAAAAAGAGAAACTTGCCCCACATGTTTCGTTTTTCCAGTGGAGTTGGAACTCAGGTCTGTGTTTCAACAGTTGAGGGGTGTACGGCCAGAAGGTGCCCCGCATGCTTCTAAACTTAGCACGCGGCGATTCGCACTGCGTATTCACACTGGGACTCTCTTGGATGTATATGAGGGCTTTTCCGAGCAGGCGTGGATGCACCTGACCGCAATTCCGTCCACAGAGAAGTTGAAAAGGTTCCTCGTGTGAGTATGCCCTCAGTTTCCCCCGATAGATTGGAAACGATCGACGGCGCGAAACGAAGAGATTAAAAAAAAAAAAAAAAGAATGTCGTCACGATAGGAAGGCAGTGGGACTCAGCCCGCTCCTCAAGGGTTAGAGCATACTCACACTAGGAGTTAAAAAAGTTTTTCACTTATTTCTGGACGTAATTGCGGCCAGATTCAACCAGGTCCGGCCCATAAATGGGGTGAGATACATTTACGGTAGTACTAGTGTGAGCACGCCCTTAGCTCAGATTTGCATGCTCAGAAGATTGGCTGACCCTACGTAGCCCCCTCCAATCGGATCCTCCAAGGATAAATGGGGTCTAGTTGCACCACTCGCCATCCACCAACATTGTGCATGCATCTGAACATCAATTAGTCCAGATGCATTCAACATCTCGGTGGATGTATATACCGGGCAGTTCTATTTGACTATATATATATATATTTGACGATATATATATATCTCCCTTGGGAATACGTAGCACGATCACTGCAACCGGGCTCAGTCCACAGAAGTGCTAGCATATAAAGCTCTTACGCCGAATTCGTACTCGGACATTCCTCTGCGTACCTGCACGTAATTAAGGCCAGGTTCCGTCGTACTCAAAACTCTACTCTTAGTCTGAGCATTCTGTTCATGTGAATGTGGTCTCAGCTCATGAATCTAAGCTGCAGAGAGGTTCGGCATTTGCCCCATTTTTCGGTTTTTTAATTAAGTTAGAAAAGAAGAGAAATCAAATCTCCAGACTTTGAGGGGAAATAAAGAACTCCAGGCTTTTTTTTTTTTTTTTTTTTTGATGAAGTTATAGTACTTTTTTCTCCCTCTGGATTTAGACTCCCCCCTCCCTCCCCCCCCCCTCCTCCTCCCTTAAAAAGACACTTTTGTTTTTTGGAGTGGTTGGGGGCGGAGAAGGGGGGGGTGTGTGTGAAAAAGACACAACTTATCTCATCTCAATTCTGCGAAAACAAACTGTTATGGACATGAACGTGTGGCCTGCGATATATCAATTTGCTACCGTCTTCCCTCGAACATAACGCACCATATTTATGAATGTATACGAGCTATCTTTCGGGTCCGATACGGTCATGGTGACGGGGCGTTATATTCGGGGGAAGAAGACGGTAGCCTACACGGTGTACGCCTCATGCAGACGGGATACGGCAATGGGAGCGACGTGGTTCTGGTCCGTTTTCTGTTGTTTTTCTTTTTTTTTTCCTTTTTTCTTTCCACCCCGGTAAATAATGAACGTGTGGTTAGTACTGGTTACTGAACCTTCCCTTCAATGCAAGTGCGTCGTCACACTCCGTGAATCTGAGCCTCCCTGGATGCACTTGACCCCAATTATGCACATATTCGTTCCAAAGGGTCCGAGTGAGAGAGTGATAACTTCCATCTTCCGCAGGCTAAAAAAAGACAGACAGACAGACACACACACACACACACACACACACACACACACACACACACACACACACACACACACACACAGAGAGAGAGAGAGAGAGAGAGAGAGAGAGGAAG